CACAGTGGAGTGAGAGTAAATGAGAAGTGAGGATGGGACAGCCTGGGGCTGAGTCAGGGGAGGCCACAGAGCCACAGAGCCCACCCCTGACAGGGCCAGAGTGGATGAGGGGTGAGGGTGGGACAGCCTGGGGCTGAGTCAGGGGAGGCCACAGAGCCACAGAGCCCACCCCTGACAGGGCCAGAGTGGATGAGGGGTGAGGGTGGGAAGAAGACTCAGGAGAGACACCAGCAGGAAGGAGGAGCCCCAAGTCCAGAGAGGGCAGAGATGGGAGAAGTGGGGAGGAGGAGGCTGAGCTGCTGAAAAGGCAGGGAGCAGGCAACCTACAAGAAACCAAGAAGGACTTCTGGACAGAGAAGAAAAAGATGTAAAACTGGGACCAAGTGATACAGGATAGAAGGGAAATAACAGGCATGACATAAACCAGCCCCGTAAGGGAAGGAAATGTGGAAAACCCACATACTTCAGAGGGTTTTGCTTCATAAACTAAATTAAAAATGAGTTGTTTTGTTTATATTTTTCCCTTTTGGGCAAAACTTTTTTCGTAAGAGCAAAAACTTGTAATTTATAGAAAATTATTGAGAAGGTCAAGCTGGTCATACGGATTTACTTGGGGCAAGTACCGCTCACTCTAAGCAAACCAGTTCCTCACTCCCCACATGCCCACACGTGTCCATGACCTCACTGACCAGCTACTGCGTCTCTTAATTCCACTCCTGGCTAACTATCCATGCTTCTCACTGCCCCCCCCCCCAAAAAAAGGCAAGAAGGTAAGACTACATCCATATCGCTAGAAAGAAGTTTGGTAGAAGTTAATCTCTTAACTTGATGCTTAAAAGATTGGTTAAATTTCTACTATCCACGTTATTTGAAAACAGAAGGGAGAGATCACCTTCACTTCGTACAGAACTTGAGCCACCACAAAACACCTGACAAGGACACACAGACAGAAGAGCAACGCTGGAAAGAAGGGGAATTACCGTCTCTGATCCTAGACAATTAACCCGGGTACGACAGCAAGTCTACAAAAGGTCTCTTTATGAAGATATAATTCTTACTTTTAAATTCAAAAAATATGGTAATCAGATCTTCGGTGTGTAAAACTGCTCAAAGAAAGGAGGCACACACGGGCGGGGGTGGACAGCGGAAGGTGAGCCCGAGGTCGCGAAGAGCACCAGGCGCAGCACACACTGAAGCAGCTGCTCCCCGACAGCACCCCGACAGCCGTCACGTCCCGCGGGAGAGTCGCTCTGACACCAACATGCTTCTACCCACATAGGACAAGACTCTGATCAGAAGGAGGTTGCCAGCCGCTGCAGTACTGGAAAATAACTCAAACATCATGCACAAAAGTGGATGGCGTAACGAAGATAACCTAACAAACAACGACAGAAACATGCCAGAGTCTGCCATTCACGTTTTCAGAACCATCGCCCTTCAGATGCTCAAAAATCCTGGACTTGCTTCTGGGATGTGAATTTTCTTCGTTTTTTTTTTTTTTTCCCCATTCTTTCTTGAAAAATCTTCATGAGTCACTTGGCCGTGCAGTCCCGTCACGTACAGCTGACACAGTCTCATTTACTTCTGGAGGAGCTCGCCACTCCACAGGCTTTACAGAGACTTCTTGAAGGCACGAGCCTGGCCCGCTGGTCTCTATTGAGGACAGGCTGAAACTAGGACTATCTCAGATTCAAAGACGGCATGGAAGCCAGGCGGGCTGTTTCCAAGGTAAGATGCCTTAAAAAAAGAGAAGTTAAAAATCAACCAGATTTTTTAAAAGTGCTAATAATGCAGTGCAATGTTCACATATTATATTTTAGCTAAGATTGAAAAATAACCGTAATTCCCCCGGTTATGAACAATAGGTTCTGTATATTTGTTCTTAAGTTGAATTTCTATATAATTTGGAAGAAGTACATTTATGTATTACCTTTAATTGCCTCCAAGTGAGTCATATGTCAGTCAGATGTAACTGGGGACTGCCTGTATTAATGTTTTATTTCAGATTTAAGTATATAATATTTTTAAAAATAATTTTAAAAGGGTATCACAGGATATCTAATAAAAATATCATAAATAATTAACAGTTCCTGACATTAAGAAAAGATGAGTTGGCTCGGCGCTTGTGGCTCAATTGGCTAAGGCGCCAGCCACATACACCTAAGGTGGTGGGTTCGAATGCCGCCTGGGCCCGCCAAACAACAATGATGGCTGCAACCAAAAAATGGCCGGGCGTTGTGGCGGGCGCCTGTAGTCCCAGCTACTTGGGAGGCGGAGGCAGGAGACTCGCTTGAGCCCAGGAGTTGGAGGTTGCTGTGAGCTGTGATGCCACAGCACTTCACCCAGGGCAATAGCTTAAGGCTCTGTTTCAAAAAAGAAAAAGAAATCCTGGTGACTGACTTTTCAGTCTTTACCAATGGCAGGATGTAAGATGGACTTTGAGAAAACAGTTTCTCTGCATTCACATCTGACTTGGAAATGGTATGAACAAGCATGGTTTATATTCACCTGTAAAATATAGGTGTAAAATTTACACCTGTAAAATTGACTGAATCAATGACCCGGAAAACTCCCAGCCATGAAATTCTGAAACTACGTATCATGTGGTGACAAAATCTCGGCCTCACTGAACCAGCTCTAGGCCAGTCACTTCTCTTCGTCCTGGCCTTCTTACCTATAAACACGAGGCTCAGTCTTCCTACGGGGAACGGGCACCAGGTCCTGGGTTTGACAGAGACATCCAGACCCTGCTCTCTGGAGTCTGCACCTCTGAGGTTAAGTGAAGGCTTCGGGTTCTTTTAGGAGACACCCTGTCCTGACGCACATTCTTGGTTAAAGAACTAGATAACGTTCAGAATCGAGCTCCCCAGCCCTAAAATGCATAAGATAGGGCGAGTGGAGATTCACTGAATTATCCCAGCATGACAGGCTCAGCATAAATGAACCCGGGCGTCATTTTCTCTTTTCTGAAGAACCTCTCGTTCAGGAAGAGCCTTACAAGAAGGGTGGGGCTAATGAGCCGGCTGCATAAACACTTCAACACAGACTGACTGACATGACGTCCCTGCAGGGGACCCGGGCGGGGAACACAGAATACCATACCTGCACAGTGTGCGTCTGCCCTGGCTGCCAGCCGGGTGTGTGGCCCATGCTTCAATCCGGGGCACCTCCTCCCCGGATTCCTGGACAGTGGGTGCGGTGATGTACAGCTCCCCTATCTGTGGAGTCATTCTGATTCGGCGACTCTGTTCATGCTTGATGTCCCAAAATAATATTGCCAGCTCTCACCAAAAGGGATAGAGAAATGGGCTTTCCGAGAACCCCACTGTTCTTCATCCTGCTGGAATCTGCTTCCAGGCCCACATCTACACAGCTCCAAACTCACTTTATTCCAGGTTTATCACCAAACCAACCACAACATCTTACATTTCCTTCTGTCAAAAAATATTATGTGGAATGAAGAGGGCTTCTGACACCGACGAAGTTCTCTAATTCTCAAACCACACTGGAAAAGTGATTTGAGAGTGCAAAGAAGGAGGCCGGGCGCGGTGGCTCTCGCCTGCAGTCCCAGTACTCTGGGAGGCCGAGGTGGGGGGATTACCTGAGCGCGCAGGTTTGAGACCCGCCTGAGATGAGCAGGATCGAGACCTCGTATCTAAAAAGGGATGCTGTGATAGGTGCCTATAGTCCTAGCTACTCGGGAGGATAAGGCGAGAGAATGGCTTGAGCCCAAGAGTTTGAGATTGCTGGGAGCTATGATACCACAGCACTCTACCGAGGGTGACAAAGTGAGACTCTGTCTCAAAAAAAAAAACCAAACAATCAAACAAAAAGACTCCACAGAAGGATAAAGCTAAAGGACAGAAGTGCAAAGGAAACCCTCAGTCACACCCACATCGTGGTAAATTACTACTGCCGGCCTTTCAAATCCAGTTAAGTGTTTAGGCAAAGATACATTAACATACTGAGTGTCACTGTGGATTGGCTTATTGGGTATAAGTTTTTTGACACTAAATTACTAACATTAACAGTCACTGTCTTATGGCCTGGTGAATCATGATCCTAGAATCCAACATCTATAAAGAATTTTCATCATCACTCAGGTTTGAGATTCAGAATTCAGGGTGCCCTACCTTCCCCTCCCCTCATCTTCATTCATTTCAGTACACAGCAGCCCTCAACCGTTTCATCATCAGCTTCTTCTGTCTGGAATATCCAGCACTGTGTCTACAGCTCATAGTCATCACAACCTTCTATGCTACTTTGAAATTTTGAAAAGAGCAACTCTGACAGCTGTAGAACTAGTGCAAACATCTAGCTCTCCCCTCTGAGTATAAAGTATACTCCCCCCGAGAAAGCACGCTGACTCAAAGCGCCTCTCCCCCCGACCTGGGCATGATCTTGGGCAAGTCTTAACCACTGTGATGTGCTTTCATTTCCTCATTGGAAAAATGAGCTAAATGCACCTATTTTGAAGGATTCTTGTGCAAATTCACGTTTTATGCAGCACATAAATATTCCCTCGTATTCTAGTTGTTTCATGTAGTTCCAAACCAGTGGTTCTCAACCTTCCTAATGCCATGGCCCTTTAGTACAGTTCCTGTGGGTTGTGACCCACAGGTTGAGAACCGCTGCTCTCAACTCTCACACTGTTTCACAAGTGCACACAAGGTTTGCCCAACCAACATGTGATCTACTATTTGGAATATCTTCACTGTTTCCCCATGGTATGTAAAATATCCACTCAATGGGTAAATATAAACCTACTCTGAATATACAGAAGGGCTCCCAAAAAATGTACACACATTTTAAGAAAAAGAAAAACTCTATTAAATTTGTAACACTCAAGTCACCTTTTGATACCGGACAAAGTGGCGCCCCAGCCAGCTCAGCTGAGGGGGGCTGGGGGACCTGCCACCTCCATCTTGGTGGCAGCAGCCGGCAGAGGAAGTGGCAGGCTGGAGCAAGGGAAGGGAGCTTTCCTCTCCCACCACAGGCTCCAGTAGCAAAACAGATCAGACCCAGCAGGGGAAAACACTGGCAATTCCTCCAGTGCATCTCTAATTGGTCCATTTTCAATTCTGCTCCTGATTGGTCTATTTTCAGGAGAAAAAGAGACCAATCAGCTCAGCTTTCAGCTCCTTGGACAACTGCCCCTATATAAACCCCTGAGTACAGCGCCTACAGGTAAATCATCCCAGACCTTCCAGGGAGAGAGAGCAGGAGAACAAAGACTTCGGCAGATCACTGCAAACCTTTGCAGGAGAGAGAGCAGAAGAGGAAGAGCTACAACACTTGGATCCTGCTTGACAAGGAAAGTTTGTCTCTCCCTAAGAGCTGTCACATCTTGCATCCTGCTCTGCAAGGGGCTGTGGCTCTTTGTAAGAGCTATAATGCTTAATACTCTCCTCTGCAAGGAGGTTTGGCTCTTTGTAAGAGCTGTAACACTTATACCCTGCTCTGCAAGGAGGTTTGGCTCTTTGTAAGAGCTGTGACACTTGCATCCTGCTCTGCAAGGAGCTGTGGCTCTTCCTAAGAGCTGTGACACTTGCATCCTGCTCTGCAAGGAGGTGTGGCTCTCCTAAGAGCTATGACACTGAATACTCTCCTCTGCAAGGAGGTGTGGCTCTTCCTAAGAGCTGTGACACTTGGATCCTGCTCTGCAAGGAGGTGTGGCTCTTCCTAAGAGCTGTAACACTTGCATCCTGTTCTGCAAGGAGGTTTGGCTCTTTGTAAAGAGCTGTGACACTGAATTCTCTCCTCTGCAAGGAGGTGTGGCTCTTCTTAAGAGCTGTAACACTGAATACTCTCCTCTGCAAGGAGGT